TGTAGAGCTGGAAGCTGAGAACTGGCGACTTTGTAGTACAACTTTAGCACGCGGAGTATCTGGCAAGCTGGACGATGAGAACTGGCGACATTGTAATACAACTTCAGCACGCGGAGCAATCTATGCAGCTAGAAGCTGAGGACTGGCGACTTCGTAGTACAACTAGAGTTGTACTGGCGAACAGTGTAGTACACGGAGGAGTCATCTCTCGCTGCTCATTCATCTCTCGCTGCTGAGTCAGCTCTCGCTATAGCCATCTCTCGCGGCTGAGTCATCTCTCGCGACTGAGTCATCTCTCGCTGCTGAGTCATCTCTCACGGCGTGCGCGTTCAGTTCATACTGATAGTATTTGGTTGCAGTTATGCAGGACAGGACATTCAACTGCTGGTCAAGACACCACTCGTCATACACCACTCAACATACACCACTCATCATTCATCACTTGTCATACACCCCTCATCATACAAGACTCATCATACATAGTCTCAGAGTTCAAGACAGATTTTACATTCAAATTCGGATTCCATTCAGTCCGATGTGTGACATGCAAGGTTTGCCGCCACTGAAGAATGCCACGGTGGGATGTGTGTGTCGATGATCCGATGTGGACCGCATCCTTGGCAAGTTGTGGTGGCCGGATGTGCGTCATCTCTCGCAGGGGGCACACACACCTTACACACGTGGAATCCCGTGGGTCAAAAGTCCGGAGCGCGTGCGTTTGACTGGAGGACGCGCATGTTGGAGAGAACGTGGACACTCCTATAGGTCAATTTCTTCTTATAGGAAACTTCCGCCGCCGGCTTGCCCGGGAACTACTTGTATATATGTATAGTTATATCTATGTATGTATTCGTAGAAGTAATGCATTCTTGAATACCACATTCTTGGCGAAGGCCTCGTCAAAAGACGTCAAAAAGACGCATAGTCCTCACGCTCCGAGGGCCTCTCAGAGTGAATTGGCGACCGTGGTATCTGCAAGTCGCTTCTCCATCGTCGGTTTTGGCTTGGGACTCGCGTGGCTTTGTTCATTGTATCTTTCATGCTGCGAAAATCCTCAGAACACAAGCCATCGCAGGCCACTTCAATTTGCTGAATACAACACTTTGAATCCTCTGCAGGTGCTCACTCCTCGAACACAAGAAGGAGGGCCTTGTCGGTCTGGCATCTTTTCTTTTGGACATATTGGACAAATCAAGATAGAAAGCTCATGCCCATATCTGCAGGTATGCTCCAGCCTTCATTGAACTGCAGTTTAGCATTCATATATGCTTGAAAGAAAAACGAGAACAAACGAGTACCAAGGTCTCAAAGTCTCGGTCGTTCTGCAACCTGACCAAAAAGCCACCTTGACTTGAGAATCTGTGGTCACCCAAGTCTGAAGTTAGGCCCACGGACTTACAGTAGTCATTGGAACCCGGCAGGAGTGCTGCCAGGCATCAGACTGAAGCCTCTTGATCTCTTCCTGATGCCACGAGAAACTGCAACGTTCAACCCTAAGCAAGTGCATCAGTGTATCCGGTATCCTAAAGTGTAAACTGTGCCCCAACCGGCAGTAGTAAAAGTGAAACTTTGACACTTGGAGCCCTGGGGCCCTGTGGCACTTTCTCCTTCATCAATTGTCCACCACAAATAGGCAGTAACAACACAGCATTGCAGCTGTAGGACCCACTACAGGAGTTTAAGACGCCTCCAAATCCCTGCCCCTGTATACTGCACGTCTGTCTAAACAAACTGAATCGACTGCCCGAAAAAAGTCTCTGTTCAGAGGAGATTCTCTCATCATTGTGTTCTCGTAGCTCATCCTTGCCATTTGCAAGCCTTTTGCCGGGCCTGGCACTGCCAGCAAATTGGAAACAACAGCATGCGTCGAGTCAAGTTTGTCGCTCAAAGTGAAGTTTTCACACTTCATCCATCTGGCCAGCCGCAAAGCAAAAGCATGTTCCTCTCTATGGATTGGAAGACCTATTGTATATGCTAATTAGTCACGCAGGCCGCATTGAAAGGAACCCCACGCGTCACAACGCTTCAAGTTTTGAGAAGGTCCGTTGAATCGGTGTGACTCTATGCAACCTGTTCTTTGACCACGAGAACACCACGAGAACCATCCGTTTGCTTGCTCTGTGAACTACGTTGGAGGAACGAACCAAAGTGCTGGGCCTTGAAGCTGCATACAGCCAAAGACAAATTCATCCTAGCACTTCAACAAAGCAATCTCGACCACCCAACACACTCCCTCCGTGCGGATGAAGTCCAACGAAGACATGTAACAATGTGATACATAATCTCACACAATCTATTCAACCGGCAAGCGTCCAGCGTCACTTGCCCATCTCCGTTTGCGTCAATCACCCTGGCAACGGCTTCCATTTTTCGGACCAACAATGTTTTTGAGCAACAAGGACCATAGCATTCCTTTTCTTTCGAAGGGCTATGTGGCTTCACCATTGACCAAATAATTGATTTAAGGATTGGCAAACTGCAAATGCATATAGGGGGGCTTGACCAAGGGCTTGACATATGAAGTTCCAAATGAGAGCAACACAGGCGCCTTAAAGGATTGAGTCCCAAAAACACTCTGTTTATTGAACCCCTGTAGCATCGCAACGGCTGTGGGTCTGACTCCAGAATGTTTCACATGCTCCGCATTGTTTCTACTAGCTTCTTGTTACTACTAGTAAGGCACTTGTTACTAGAAGTGATGCACTTGTTACTAGTAGCGTCTTTGCTTTGCCAAGAAACATGAAGAGAGTCCAAACATCCTGGGTAGAGATGTCCATGGAATGCATGAAGGAAGCCAACTTCTGACTCTGCAATGCCTCCTGCCAAAGTTCGACGCAATCTCTCCATCTCAAGATCAGATCGATTTCAAAAATCTGAGTTCCACTTAGGTGGAAAGGACAGCTACGGATAACAAGTCACCACGGGCAAACTCCATGCCACAACACCTTGCTCGACTGCTGATTTACAATGTGCAGTCCATCCTCGCACCGAAAACAAGAGGTTCATTGCAGGTTCTCTTCCATGGACGGACTCCCTTTCCATGCCCAAACGTGCCTTCAGCTGCTTCAAACTTACCTTGGAATGTAGAGGTTGGAGGTAGGTGATAAGTGGATTCGCAACATGTTTGTGAGGTGGACACTCCACAAGCACGTCCATATCGTCCATCCATGAAACATTTACGAACAACAAACAACACCACTTTACCTGGCATCGGCATCTCCTTCAAAGCAAGGGCCGCACAGGCAGCAAACCCATGTACACAATGTGTCGTTTGTAGTCAGCACAATATCTTTGCAAGCAAGGTCATACCAACCTTTGGTCCTGCTCTTTTAGATGGTTTTTCAACAACAGAAAGGAGCTAATATTTTTCAATAAACAACTTTTTGCCAGAGTCCCCTCACAACTTGTGTGAGGTTTGTTTCGCACTGTCCCTTCACCACAGTCTTTGTCAGCAACTTTGCTTTCCAAACTTACAAAATTGGAACATTTGAAGAAATCTATGCCGTTCAAAGGTTTCATCTACAATAAACAACGTATCAAAAAAGGGAACAGCCATTTTTGTCTCTGGTCTAGCTGAGTCTAGCTCCTTCCATTGCACGGCCCTTGTTATCTTGCCTCTCAGTACTTAATCACAGAAAGAATGACGCAAGAAACCGTTTTGTCTAACAGAAAAATCCTCTTAAGAATAGGAGCAGCTTGAACAGCGGAGCAATGAAAGATGTGAGGAAGGAATCAAGTAGTAGAGAAACATAGAAGGAAGGACATAGAACAGAGTATATATATATAGATAAATCAATTTCCAGTATGGAAGGTGCCACATAAAAAGAATACCCAAACCACTAGTAAGGAATGGTAGCAGTAATTAGAAAAAAGGAACAAATATTTCAATATCTTTGTGTGACAATAAGTATTGAAACAAATCTGGAGGATCCATTTAGTATGGGGGAAAACTAACAAAGAACAAGGACACAACAAATACTCCAGGAGTTCAATCAAGATAAAATTACAAAAAAATCGAACATTGTTATTTTCGTTGAAAAATGTACCGTTCACAGCGCTCTGCTCAAATGTCTTTTCGTACTCAGTTCAAGCGGCCACACTGGATTTTTGGTTGTCGATTTCATGGAAAATCTCACGCAATGATTGAACTTGAGCTTCATGTTTGTGCATTTGCTTCATGATGGCAATGTCCTCCATTGCAGCAAAATTGTACACACAATTGAAGAGTCTTCCAACATGTCTGGCGTATGTTACGACTACTGAACAATTGAAACCAAACAAAATTAAATGACAAAACAGGTCAAATGAACGGCACACACCCAGAACTCAGTCCTACCCCAAAAAGATAGACAGTGGTCCTTGTCCGCTCGGGCGCTTTCAATGGCTGTATTGCCTGAGAGCCGCCAAACACAAATGACATCGCTGACTCAAAAAACAACACTTGCATCCTCCGTGTCGAAACGCACCAATTTTGAACACTATCCTCAGAACATTGGGGAACATCTCTACGACAAAGTTAGGTGACAAGTAACAACAGTGAGGCAAAACATGGTGGAGTGCTCCTGCAACTGTCCTGAAAACCTTTCCTCCGGGAGTTGTGCTGCCACGGGTCAGAACACTCCGGTGACTACGTTCAACACGGCGAAAATCGTACTTGTGATGTACACCTCAGACGGATCTGTAGTGCGAAGTGTTCTGCAACAGCGAAGGCCACTGTCTTCGAGAGGATGCGACAAAGAAATGTCTACAAGTTGGGCTGATGTATACCTAACAGGGAGTTCATCCTGAACACGGAACACCTATTAAACAAGATGGAATCCACGAACCCGAAAACAAGCGGCCAAACATTGATTGACACTCTTGGGAGACTCTTGGGGGGCACTCCTTGGACATGTTTTGTCTACCAAAGTTCGGTCTTTTGCTTTGAGTTTTCAGGATTGCGGCCTAGTAGGCGCAGGTTTGTCTTCCCTACATGTGGTTACACATGGAGGTATCTTGACTCCACAGTGCTACACTCCTCCTTTGGTCGAGGCGTTTTGTAGCCTCTACCAACATTTCTTATCTCTCTCTGCCAGCTTGTCGGTCTCTGGCAGCGATTGCTCTCTAGTCATGCCGCTGGCTCTCCTTCTCTCACAATCTACATCCATCCTGTTCCCCCGGCGGCCAACCAAGTCCTCTGCGTGACTCAGGTACTTCATCTTCTGGATCAGGTTCTCCGTGTAGTCGAGGAAGATGCCACTTTCCACCATCGCTTCCCGAGTTGGGGCTTTCCATTGGCGTGTCAATCTCCAGATCAAGAAGTCGATGCATCTGGATTTCTCCTGTCTCTGGATTCAACCAGAGCACCAGGCCAGGCACACCATCTTCCACGCCAGGCATGTTCTCCTAGCTCTTCTCTCAAAGCTGCTATTTCGTGAACTCGCCGAACTTCTCCTTGTCCACCACCTTCTGGTTCTTCAGCTCATGAGCATCATCTTCATCTTCTTCTTCCTCGCTCTCACCACTGAGATCCCCACCATGTCGTTCCAGGCGTCCATCCACGTCCTCCACGACTCTCGGTAAGTCCTGATTTCTTGCGACACAGGGCCCCAATCTTCCACAGATGCTATCATCACATCATCTGCGCTTGTCTCCTCAGTGTATTCACCTTCAATGAAATCCCCACCAGAGGTGCATGTATGCGGTCTCTGTGAAGTTCTCTGGTTGTTCTTCTTCGTGATCATCACTTTCACCTCCTTCAGGAAGTAGGTGGACAACTCCTCCTCCATCAGGCTCGTTCCACAATTCACCCATCTTGTCCGCTTTCTTCAGGATCATATCCGGCAGTTGTCTTGCTGTTCAAACTCATGAGGATCTTGAGGTGGTTCATATCCAGGTAGTTGAGGCTCTCCTTCTCCTTCGACAGGTAGTAGGTTGAAGTAATCCCAGAGGTAGAATAGGATGAAGACCATCACGTTGAATGCCACCATCATCATACCAGCTTGGAGAACCTGGTATCCCATCTCAGCCAAGAGAGACCATGCCCCAACAGAGCCTGCGTTGAGTACCATCAGCGCCAAGTCACATCCTTGCAAGCTCAGTGCCATCGTCGCCAAAATTGCGCCCATCGTGAACACCGTCGGGAAAAGTCCACGGGCACCAGATCATTTCTGGCTCGCCAAAAGCAAACATGTCAGTTGTTGTACTCGTTCTTGTGGAAGTCCTTTGACATGTCGAATCTCTTCTTCTTGGGATCCAACTCTTGCTCCTCCAGCGTACTCCAAATAGCCAATTGCGTCGTGCAATGAGGCCAGGTAGAATCTCAATCTCTTGCTGCTGTGGCTTTTGGTTCCTAGATCGCTGCTGTTCTCTTTGCCCGGCCCGGGCCGAATTGCCACTTCTCTTTCCTCGACCTTCTGCTGCGCCCAAAGAAGTCCAGCGCTGATGTGTCGTGTTCTTTGAACTCCTTGTTGTTGTAGAGGTGCTCGAGCAGAGGAACTGTCAATCCTCAGTTCCAAAATTACTTTCATGTTGAGGACTGGATACAGATTCCTTCGGCCATGCCACTGAAATGAACTCAGCTTCACAGCTAAAGCTACGCTCTTCTGGCTCCGATTGAGGAACATGTGACTGCGTGACATTCATCTCCTGGAGGCTAGGTCTGATGCCCAATCACTGTCCGTGAAGGCTTCGAGACTTCTGGCCCACACGAACTGTCATAGTTCCAGATCACGTCGTGTTGGCTTTTAACCAGTTGTAAGTCATCAACGTGTGAATACACCATCAGGGGCATCTTTCCAACCTTGTAGAAGACTGCAGGATTTGCAGGGTATGGCTGTAGTCCTTGGTCTCGCGCCACCTTTCAAAGATGGTCATACCATGCCTTGGGCCCAACTCTTCGTCCAGGCAGGCTTCGTCCAAGTTCAATGAACTCGCCATTGCACTCCACATAGATCTTCTCCTCCTGCTTGGCATCAACCGCCCATAGCCCATAGCCCAAGTTTTTGTAGGGCTATCGTAGGTCAGTTCAGGAGGGATCTGCTGTCGATAAAGTTCCTGGGTCTCGTGAGAGAACAATGCGCACCCAATGTCAACGTGGTACACGGTGAGATGCCATCAAGCTCTGACATCCTTCTAACAATCCAGAACTGCGCGCTCTCCACAAAGTCATACTTGCCAAGTTATCCTGCAAGGAAACTCATGAGGACCATGCCATCTTGAGATGTCCTGCAACGTGAAGGCGTTCTTGACCGCCAAACCAGGCCAGGCTTTGCCTTGACCTTGCCAGACGCGCCCCTGACATAGCTGACCTTTCCCTCCTCCTCCAAGCCAAAGCTCACAACCAAAGTATCGCGCAGCCATTTCAAAGGTAGGTAGTTGCTGTTCTTCTGCAAGTAGAGCTTGCCCTCGACATTCTGGATCATCCATCCTTTCTTCATCCACTTGCCCATACAAATGGTTGCTTCACATTGGCCATCGCGAGGCCTTGAGCTAAGCAATTCGTAGTCGTTGCAACTTTCCCTTGAACGGGGAGCATCTCGAAGGAATGTTCCACCATGGGTCTTCTTGCCCAAGCTGCCCATGTTCATGGGCACCCAGCCCACATCTGCGCCCAAATCCAGCGCAGCATTGTAGTCCAAGCTCAGCTCAGAAATGGCCTGGATCTTGAGGTTCTCGTCAGCACTCCTGTAAGAAGTGTTGCTAGGCGCCGTACTCGCTGAAGACACCTCGTGGAAGGTCTTCAGAAGACTGCCCGCCACCATTCCCTACATGATCTCCTGAATCATGGGTCTGAACTTGTTGCACCTGTTGACCGCGCTTCCTGCCAGCATTCAGCAACCCTGTGGCGAATCTTGCTTGCCACTAGCAAAGCAAGCGTGTTTTGCTTTGCCCTTGCCTTTGTCTTGGCTCTTGCCGCTTCCTTTGCCTGCTCTTGCCTTTGTAACCTTTTCCTTTAGGTGATCCTTTCTTTCCTTTGCCCTTGTCTTTGCCCTTTCCTTCTTTGTGGTCGCCCTTGATGTGATCCACCGCCACAATCTGGCAGTGCTCGAGGACCTTGGTGCTCGACCAGGCAGTCGTCGATTGCTCGTAGGTCACCCTTGACTCTGTCTCACCTGTGCATAGCGAGTGCCAGGCTTAGTGCGAATGCTGTTGCAACTGTCCAGGAACAACGCATCACTGTTGCTATCTTCAAGTTCTCATCCAAGGAGCTTCCAGCCAGCCGCTCGTACTCACCGACCAGCTTCTCGTACTTCATTATGATTCCTTCAAGGATCTTGCTTGCCCTTCTCGAACTGCGGAAAGGCCACCAATGCCTGGATGATTCCAAGCTCTCTCTGCCTTGTCCTCCCGACAAAGCCGTTGCCAGGCCCGAAAGCCATCAGTGTCCGTCACACTCCGGACAATCTGAGGCGGTCTGCCCTTCACAAAGCTGACCAAGTAGGCATACAGCTTCCTTTTTTGCTTTCTCCACATGCTCCAGGTCATTCGTGAACTCCTCCTCAATGAAGGCCAAGTAGCTCTTGAAGAGGAAAGACCAGTCAGGTCCAGTGGACACCAGGGTCCTCGGGTCTGCTTTGGATCCATCCCTCTCCTTCTCCACCTTTGCTAAAGTCTGGCCACAAACTCTTGTGAGCCCATGGGGCTCAATGACAACTTGCTCCATGGCAGCCATGAGCTCCAAGCTAGCCCTCTCTCTCTCTCTCCCTCTCCCTCGCCTGGAGCTCACCGGAGACGCTCAGGAATCGGGATCACAGCTCCGCTGCCATCTAGCAAAGCTCGGTCTTTTCCTTTGAGCTTTCACGGTTGCGGCCTAGTAGGCGCAGGTTTGTCTTCTCTACATGTGGTTACACATGGAGGTATCTCGACTCCACAGTGCTACTTGAGAGAGGAGGGGGTGAACGAAAGGTAGCAGGCAATCACAAGCAACCCTGGTAAAAGTCCATGACGGCGTGAACCGGCGCAGGGGGGATTTGATCCAGGGGGGCCCCCCCCCCGACGAACAGAATCAACTCTTACAGGACCAATTCAACGCACAATCCCAACTCCTGATTGTAATACATTTTTGCTAAAGCAAGGAGAACTCAGGTAGCTCAAGCTACCTTTCGTGAGATTTTGGGACGCTCTTAAGGGGCACTCTTTTGGGACACTCTTGTAGGACTCTTGTGGGACACTCTTGTGGGACAATAGAATCAACCGCTGGATTGCCTCCTACGGAAAAGGTAGAGGTAGAGTCTAGAGACTCTCATCACGCTCACTTAGCTTGCGTTTCAATAGGGGGTTTTACAACAGGCTTCAGGGAAGAGACTTAAATCAAGGAACTTTCCAAACACAAAAAGGAACTGCCGGCTGTGTTCCGGGTCCTTATCACGCTTTTAATCAGTGATTTACAGTATGAGGGACATTCCCTTTTCCTGATCTTTCCCTTGGTCGCAGGACTGTATTTGTTTGGCCTTTGATGAAATCTTCCACCTTCTGATTTGCGCGGCAATTCCGAGGAGCGTTTTAGTTCACATCTTGCAGGGTCCCCCGTTTTGGAGACCTCTTGCATATCAAAGAAACACGCGCCGTTGTTGTCTTTTTCTTTTTAAGTATATTTCCTTTTTTAATAGATGGAAGTGGAAGGGATTATATATGTACAACTGCTTCAGCCCAACGCAATTTGCAGGCATGGCGCCAGCATACTGACCACAGCCAATGGATGTGCCTGAAAGCAAATGAACAAACACCAGTGCCATGCGGTCGCCACAGCACTCAAGCTTTTCGCACGCGTCGATGGGTTTTGTATATGGGGGCCTCTGTGGTCAAAATGTATGATGGGTGGCTATTGCATCGTCATATTATGTGAGCCCGAGTCCCCTATCGTTCGCAAGGGTTTGCAGCAAGCCAGCATATGAATGCAACGCTCTTGTGCAATTGTAATCATTGCAAAGTTTGAAGGCGCTTCAATGGCAAACGCAAAGAACACTCTTGCGTCTCCAGGCTGCCTGCATCAACTGCTCTAAAGCTTCGATCCAGCTGAGGCCACCGGAGATGGACATAAAGAGTGTTAACATGCCTCAGATTCATTTTTGGGAAGCACATGAGATAGATTGATGTTTTGCAATTGCCGGACTGTCGTCGAGCTGGAATTCCGACTAAAATAGCATCCGCCTAACACAATGGCACATTGGAGCTTGTTCCCTGCACCGAGCAACTCCGGCCCACAGAGCTCCAGTGATAGAAGCTTTCTAAGCAATTTGGCTGTGCGAGATACCTCTCAAAACAACTGCAGGGAAGCTCGCAAGCATGCGACATGATCTGTGATTGGTTTGCCTCGTTTACCAAACGTTTCGAGCGCAAACCCTACCACCAATAGATACCCCGATATCCCTTTATAGACTTTATGGGCAAAGTGGTGCCTGAGCACCAGCTTGCAGTTTGGACCGAGCTTGTCGCTTGAAGCGACTCTTTTTATCTCTTTTCATTCAATGCCTGTCCTGTGAGTTTTGTTTCCGTTTCTTTGGAACTGTACGAAACAGCCGAAAGTATCCTTCTTGTGCCGGAGCAAGGGTAGGGAAACAAAGGGAGAGGTTGTGACAAGGCATCAGTACGTACGAATGGAGCAAAACAAACAAACACATGGTGCTTCTGAGTGCTTCTGTATAGTTATAAGTACATTATAAGGCCAAAATTGTTTGACTTCTATGTAACATGCTTTGAGGACACAACAGAAAATATACAAAAGAAACAACAGGGTTTCGTCATTAGGAACTCAAGTCAGGCTTGAAATCTTTGTATACTCCAAGCGCACACCACTTACAAGGAGATTGGCGAATGCGTGATTCGACTCCATCAGCCATTTCTTCTCAGCAATCTGCTTCTGTGACACCCCAAAACTATACCTCATGGAGGGAAAACATTGAGAACCGGGACTTGTTATTTCAGATATTAAAATACAATCCTCTAGCCCAAACATTCACAATGGACACCTCTGCCTCTTTGTCAAAGCTACTGATGCATTTGAGTACATCAACAGCTTGGCACCCTGCCTGCAATTATCACTCACCAATTGTGTGATGAACACTCCGAAGCCTCAGTATGTGAAAAAGCTAAAGGTCGTATCGGGATTATCAAGATCTGAGTGTCCACCTGCGCAGGATTTGGAAGGCCCTTGGTGCTCTAGTTTGCTCTAGTTCACCTAGCCTGGACTTGCTGGAGCTCTCACAGAATCCAAAACCTGCAGGTTTAAAAACGCCACGCACTAAAGCACGATTTTCCTCTTTGATGGAATGGCCAAAACAGCTGCAGCTTGCCGCTGAGGTGTCCACCCCACTATGCGCAGGAGGAACAATAAAACAGCATCAAAAGAAGGACCAATGTCCACAGGAGAGAACTCATTGTGCTGACAATGGAAAACCTCGGGCACCATGCAACAGGAGAAACGTTTTTGCGCACTGGAGAAACAGTTTGCAAACTCTGCGCGTGGCATGCATGCTCATGGTTTGAAATAACGCGCGGAATCGGTGGCCCACCAACAATCCTCCAAAAAATCACACGTGTTGTTGGTTGCTACACACCGAACAGCCTGCCTTGCGTCCAAAGAGCACAATGGTTCGCAAGGCGCTGACATATCTAAGCAGTCGAATCACCCGCACGCCCCTCAGTGCCCGTGCCAGCCGTGCGAAGCGCATAACTCGCAAATGGCTGGAATTCATTTCGCCCACATCCAAGAAGGCCTGCCAGAGTGGGACCCGAACATTGTCCCAACGAGTTTCGATCTGATTTGGGTTTCATGGAAAACTGCTCAAAACTTCTGTCCAAAGCACGGCGAACACTAACATGACAGTCTCAACGCTCGAACCATGCACATGTAAACAAAACACAAACAGAACAGTGCTTCCTTAAAAGTGCGGAAGTGAATTCAGGCAGTCAGGGATTATTGCCTTTACCAATAGCCTTATTCAGGTTATATTTATAGATTGAAGGTCGACATTAAGCCTTCATTTACACAAATCATAAAGCGAATGGGTCAGTTCGTGACCGGTCAACTCTACCCGTCTAGATGAACAACAAAGAGCTATTGAGTTCCTCCACTGCAACCACAACAGACTCTGTGTAAATAAAGCCTACGTAGACTACGTAAACAGCTCATAGAACTCTCATGATTTCAGTGTGCCCAAATGATGCCTTTGACACAATATCCATGGCAGTTTCGATGAATGACAAGCCGGCAATCACCTCACAAAAAACAAGCGCAACCTATTTCGACGGAAATCCCTGGATTTGGTTCGTCCCAACCCACGGACCAAACTAAGGAAGCCGTCAGAAAAGACAAACAAAGCTCACTAAATGAAGCCAGTTCTCAAAGTCAAACAAATTCCAAATGCGTTCCTTGCCGCAGAAGAACTCCCGACCTCGGCCGCGAAAGAAGCCTAATCTTGCCAGACTCAGACTGTCTTCCTGTTTCATTCTATTTGTTCTGTTCAACAACGCTTTTGGGCCTTTCTTACGGGGGGTGTCTTTTCGTGAGTTGTAAACATGTTGCGCTGGTGCAGGTTCCTTGGCTTTATTGTGCCCGTGCTGGAAAAGCTCTAGTTTTGGTCGATCAGAATGGATGTACACGATCGACATTGCAACCTCCCGGAATTGCAGGAACCAGAATGACCGTGTCGCGGTTGGTAGGTAATTCTACTCTATTTTCACGTTGTTGTTTCATGTTGTTTCAAGACACTCCATAGGTTTTTGTTGTCGGTGCCTCACAAAGGCCAAAAAGCGACAGTGAGTTAAAAAACAAAACTTACAGTATCTAGTCAGAGTTTGTGATTGAACAAACTGTATCTTCGGCGACAGGATCTCCGGTCTTGTGTGGCAACTGTGCTGACATCACCAGGTGGTTCAAAACCTACAGCATTCCCACTGCCCATCCTAACACTACAAGCTTTTACCAAACACAGTAGCAAAACAAGCACAATATAGCACAATAAAATCAAATCTCGTTTATTCTAGCGTCTCTAAAAGCACTACAACCTTGACCGCTCCAAACTGGACACCTTCTTGTTCCATCCCCGTTGGACACCTTCATCACCATGTGACCAATCTGTGGGCACCGCTGAAGGCACTCAAAACAGATGATGACGACGCAAAATTACATAGTCATGGCATGTGGACAACAAAGACAACGCCGCGTCCAAAAGGGGCGCGTCATTTTTGGAAATTTTGTTGCGCTGCGTTTAGGGACCTTTTATGCGGTCGTGGTTTCTCTATAATTTCTTCAGTGGAACTGGAAAAATGTGAAGAGAAAAGGATGAGGTTGAGTCTATATTGGAAACCGGCCCGGACGTAAAAACAGCTCGTTGCCTAATTTGGATCAAGGTGGCCAAATAGTAATCCACTGGTTGCCAAGGGGTGTCAAAGAGCGCTACAGGCATTGTATTGAAGCTGTCCCACTGAGAATGTAAATTGATAGCAGTGTCAGTGTTACCTGTGAAAATTTCATGTTGGCAAGAGCAAGAACAACATATTTTAGCTTGTTGCTATTGACAGTTTGTTTGTTTGTTTGTTTGTTCGTTTGTTTGTTTGTTTGCGTGTTTCAGTTTCTCTATGTTTGTTTAAACGCTTGCTTGGGAAAGGGATGTCCACAGGAGGAGGGAAGCAAAGATATCTTCCAATCGATATTCATGCAGGTTCGTATGTGTTTTTGTAATAAAATGTTTGGATTCAGGTCCTGCCGCAAAAATGTCATCCAGTCGAGGTTTATGTGGGGTTGCTTGCATTTGTGCAATGAAACGTGCGGGTTCAGGTCCTACCAATGTCTTCAAGGGCGAAGGCGCTTTTTGAACAGATTTCTGTGTGTTTACAATAGAATAGAATACGTGAATTCAGGTCGTGCCCAAAGGTGTCTCCAAGGCAATGTTTATGCAGGTTTGTGCGTTTTTATAAGAAAATGTGCGGGCTCGGTTCCTGCCCCACAGACGTCTTTCAGTCGATGTTTAAGTAGGTTCGTGCTCTTGCAATCAAATGTGTGTGAATAACACAGACAAAATATTTTGCCACACAGTGTGCCACAGACTAAATACAACAGCGTAAAGCCAGCCTCGTGATTCATTCGTCCCGCTCCCCAGCGACACACCATGTTTCTTCAGTTTTGGACGCTTGACGCGCATTTCGTGCGAAAGGGTTGGTTGCATTTCGCGGCGCCTCGTCGGCACTGCCCCCGGCCTAAGAAAGAAAGATAACATTTATGGAAAGAGAAGGAGAGGGAGAAGAAAGATGTTAAGAGACAAGCTTTTTCACAATAGCTTACTTACTCCATCGTAGTGTTGATGTACAACTGCACGGTGCTGTACAATGCACCTTGGATCAAAGGCCTTGAGCCCAGCCTAGCTGAAGAGGAAAACAATACAGAGACGAGCACAAACAAACGACAAACAAACAGCTGCTGAATTTTACATGGTACCGGAGCAAGGATCCTGGTAACAACAATCCAGGTGAGCTCCAATACAACAACAGGAACAGACACACAAACACAGACAACGGAGAGCAAGCCTTGACCCTGCAACAGGTAGCTTGCACAGCTGCAACAATGGCAGCACAACCAGCAGCAGCTCAAGCTGGAGATGGCCTACCTCCAGTTCCAGAAGACGAGACAATCACCAACATGGCAAACATGAACAGATACAAACTCAAACCACCTTTCTTCAATGGAGACTATGGCACGTTCGAGGAATGGAAGTACAAGTTCACAGCATACATGGGATTGCAAGACAATGATTACACAGAACTACTACAAGCAGCAGAACGAGGCACAGCAGAACTCACAGAGCTACAATTACGAGTAGCGGCATCAACACTCGAAGACGGTGAACGACATGTTCGCCTCAGCACTGATTTGAGGTACATCCTCATCAACACAACAACTGGAGCGGCAGCTACAGTATGCAGACAATACGCTTCGAGATGTACCGACAACTGTGCATCCGCTTCTCCATCCCATTGGGGACAAGATCCATAGGACACTTGACAAGATTGTTGAAACCAACATTTGACAAGAACAACTTTGAAGAATCGTTTTCCAGATGGGATTTGAGCTACAAAGATTCGAGCGAGACAATGGACAAACACTCCCAGACTCCGTGAAGATAGCCGTATTGCTCAACGAGACAAGCGGACCACTACAACAACACCTACAACTGCTTTCAGGACAAAGCCCAAACTATGCACGAGTCAAACAAACAATCATCGAGTACTACAGATCAACAACAGCATTCAGCAAACTTCAACAACTACGATCACAGTCATCCAGTGTAGCAACAAGCTTTGGTGGAGGACAAGCACCTATGGACATTGATGCAATCCACAAAGGAAAAGGGAAGTACAACAGTTACAAAGGAAAAGGGAAAGGAAAAGGAAAGAACAAAGGCAAAGGCTACGGAGGATACAACGGCTACGGCTACCACAGCTACAACATCAACCACAAAGGAAAAGGAAAGTATGGAGGAAAAGGATTCAACAACTACAACAACAGTCCGATCGGCTTTGGCAATCCATTCGGAAGAGGCAACAAAGGAAACAAAGGATTCAGCAAAGGATACAACAAAGGCAAGGGAAAGAACAAAGGAAAACAAGCAACAGATACATGCTACAGATGTGGAAGAACAGGACACTATGCCAACGATTGCCGAGTGGCAATACACAACATTGGACAAGGAGAAAGCAATGACATTGAAGATGCGACAGCACAATGGTACGACGACTACTATGACAATGGATGGCACTTTCAGGACTACGCACGGCAACAACAAGGACAACAACCATTGGCACTACCACCAATTCCATCCACCGGCAACCATGACATGACACCAATCCATGTCATCGCCATGATCAGCAATGGCAATGATTGCAAGACAGATACCACAAGCAGCGGCACAACAGACACTATGCACATCATGATCGACAGTGGAGCAGCCACACATGTCTGTCCACTATGGTTTGCAGACAACTATCCCGTGTACAAGATCGACCAAGCACAAAGGCCCAAACCTCAGGACAGTGACGAACAAGACAGTACAATGCTATGGAGTAAGATGGGTCTACATGCAATCAAAAGCACAACCAATTGTCATACCATTCTATGTGTGTGACATCCATGACCCAATCCTGTCAGTGACAAGACTGGCAGAACAAGGTTTTGACATCAGGTTCAACGACACTCCAACAATGCGCCATGACAAGGGATTCAATGTTCCCTTGGTGCAGCAGCACAACCTCTACTACCTGCCAGCAACAGTCATGAACCTGGGACAACATCAACAACTACAGCTGAGACATACACAAAAGGGCATGATTGCAATGATTGCCCCAACAACACTGACAAAGCATGGACCGCAACAAGTCCTTGGAGGCAATAGCGACTACTGGAACTACAACAATGAAGGATACCTTGTACGGTATCACCGGAACAAGAGGAAAGCTCTCTTTGTTCCTGGCGACAATTGCCCAGTACCACTGGAGACTTTGAGCAACTACAGACGAACAATCATTCGGCGAACAGACGGGAACAACGAAGACATTGTTGAACAATACCATGACTTGAGCAAGCGCGCACAACGAAGAGTGATACAAGGAGACACATGGACAGGAGAGACATGGTTTAGAGTGAACAAGCCACCAGCACAACCAGTGACGACAACATCGAAGACAACAGAGAAAACAGGCAAAGCACAACAGGCACCACAAGTGCGACAACCATCAACAGCAATACAACTCCCGGAACAAGACGGGACAGCACGGCAGGTCAGCAGAGACCCACTATACAGACACACAACGAAGAAGCCAGCACCAACAACCACGGCAGTACCTGATCCATCAACAATGACACCAACAACAGACTATTGGATCAGAGAAGGACACTATTGGAAACGAGTTCACGTACAATCACGGACAACAATGTATGTACCACAACAGACAGATGATGGTCCAGACATTGGACGACTCAAACCTACACGGACAACATTCGTGAACAGAACGGAACAAGGAAGAGGATACACAATCCATGACAATTGGCAGGAATCAGGAGCAAGACAGCTTGACAGACAATGGACAGGATCAACAAACTTTGAAGAAGAAGCGACGTACAAGTACGAGTACGACACGGACAATGAAGATGAATCTCAACAAGCACATCGCGCCAAAGGAATGAAGGCGCCACAACAACCAACAAGACAAGAGAGGCTAGAACATGAGCTGACACATCTACCATATCGCTCATGGTGCCCAATATGTGTCAAGAGCAAAGGAAGAACAGACAATCACCCAAAACAAGCAAGCAAACAACCAGTGATACAAGTGGACTTCACCTACATGAAAGCATTTGGAGACAAACAAGTACTACCAGTACTCACGGCAATAGATGTCGAATCAGGTATGGCAATGGCAGTTCTTGTACAAGACAAGAACCAACAACAATAATACCTGATACGATGTCTACAAACATTCATGTTTGAATGTGGACGAGCACAAGCAACACTATCCACCACGACACTACAATCAGACCAAGAAGAATACATACAGAACCTGCTGAAGACAGTTGCACAAAAGCTCGGAAACAACGTCAACATCCGACAATCATCGGCATACTCGTCACAATCACAAGGAAGCATTGAACGATTCCATCGCACCTTGATGGGACAAGTCCGAGTACTGGTACAACAAGTGACCACAAGCTACAACCTCACATTGAGCGTACAACATCCGATCATGCCGTGGATTGTACGGCATGCAGCCTGGCTACTGAACAGGTATGCCATGCACAATGACGGACAAACAAGTTTACCAAAGACGATGGCAGAAGGACCACAAAGCACCACTATGCGAGATGGCAGAAACAGTACAATACATGATACCAACAACAAAAGACAACCCAAGATGGAGCCAAGATTCTTCAAAGGAATCTGGCTTGGCAGAGACACAATGACTGGAGAGTCAATAGTTGGCATCCCTGGCAAGGTCATCAAAGCAAGAACAATTCGAAGACAGATCATGCCAGACAAATACGACAAGCAACTACTGGATACCATCAATGTGTATCCATGGAATTTGCCAACAACACCACTGGCAGTTCCACCACAATTGCTTCTACCAGCTGACAACACCACAAACAGACAAGCAATTGGCACACAAGCTGACATTACAATGGAAGATACAAGCACACAGATACAAGAGACACCACTGGCACTACCAACACAAGCAATGCATCATCAGCCAATGGATACGACAATGGCAACATCACCATTGGCAACTTCACCAACAACAATGGCAAGACCACCACTGCCATTACCACCAGCAAGCAAGCGACAACACGAGGAGCCTACAGGTGAAGCACAATCCAAACAATCAAGGACAGCACAGTCCTCAACAGCAGCAAACAGAGGACAAGATGAAGAACAACCAAAAGCAAAGATGAGAATACAAGCAGTGACAATCACCACAAAGAAAGGTGACAAGATCACCACAGTACCTGTGAAGATGAACAAGAAGCAGAAGTGGAAAGGATGCTACAAGAACCCTTCGTCTACGACAATGAAGGTCTTGATCCATTGAAAGTACAACAAGGAATGAAGAAAGAAGCACAATCGATGAAGACACGAGGAGTGTTCACAGAGATGAACTGCAATGATGTCCCAGAAGAACACAAGAACAAGATCATAGAATCCAAGTGGGTCAACAAACCCCAAAAAGAGGAAGTGAGATGTCGCATAGTAGCAAAAGGTTTCCTGGAAACAATCCAAGACCTTGACAACATCTATGCGAGCACACCGATCTTTGGGATCTTGCGCATCCTACTGACAATGGCGCAGCGCAACCACTGGACAATACAAGCAGGAGAGATGTGTCAACAGCATTCCTACATGCACCAGCAGCGACAGACAATCTTTACATGTGGCCACCACCAGAACTATACCCAAGTGGTCACAACGCAACCACAGTATGGAAGCTCAACAAAGCAATCTATGGACTACGATCAAGTCCAAAATCCTGGCAAGATCACTTTGCACAAGTCCTGCAACAATTGGGACTGTCTCGACTCACAAGTGAACCCAACGTGTACAGGAACAATGAACAGACAATGTTTGTGATGGTCTATGTGGATGACCTACTATTCCTTGGACAACAACAAGAAGTCGACAAGACTTTCAAGGAAGTACAAAAGCATGTACTACTACGACCAACCGGCACATTGGGAGTTGGTCAGACAATCCAATTCCTTGGCAGAGACATCCACAACAATGGAGACTTCTTTGAGGTGAGCCTCAAACCAGAATACATCACTACGTTGCTGAAGGAAACAAGGATGGAAGCAAGCAATCCAGCATCAACTCCAGGGACGGCAACCCTGAAACAATCCACAAACGATGATGCACCTTTAGATGCACAAGAACATGCAGATTACAGGAGAGCAGTAGGAAAGCTTCAATGGCTGACCTACACAAGACCAGACATCAGCTTTGCAACAAAAGAGCTAGCACGAGACCTACAACAACCAACACAACAAAGCTTACGCAAGGTGAAGCACCTCCTACGATACCTCAGGGGAACACAACACTACAAAATGATCCTGAGGACAACACATACACCACAGACAAAGGAACCCATCGACCTCAACATTTATGTCGATGCGGACTGGGCAGGATGCCCAAGCACAAGAAAATCAACAAGTGGATTCATCGTGACAATGGTGGGATCCGTGGTACAATTTGGAAGCAGAACACAAGCAGTAGTAGCATTATCATCAGCAGAGTCAGAACTATATGCAATAGGAACAGGAGCACAAGAAGGACTACATATAGCAAACTTTATCAAGGAAGCCACAACAACAAAGGTGAACATACGCATACACACAGACAGTACAAGCGGCAAAAGCATTGCAACACGAATAGGCTCGTCAAAGAAAGCAAAGCACATTGACCTGAAGTACCTCTTCATACAACAACTGGTACAAAGCGAGGTACTGTCAATACACAAGATCAGCACACACGACAACCCAGCAAACATACTGACAAAGTATGTCCCGGCAGAGGTGCTTAACAAACATCTCTACATGGCGGGCATTCAATGCCCACAACACCACAACTGAACTGCGATCGCACAAACAGTTTCACAACCATGGCAGCATCCACGCGTGTACAATACATACACGGCGGCATCAAGCCATGGCACACTACTTTAGCTACTATGTGCATACTATGTCATAGACAATATGTACTACAAGATTTCAGTCTCACAATGGATCCAATCTTTCTGTCGTCGACTCGTAGAACAATTCGATGAACAGTGTGTTTGAAGTTTTGCTTTCTGAATTTGGAAGACAATGCATGTTCAGTTGACAATTTGTCAACAATCCTTTTGACCGCAGCCGCTTCCCGGCACACGAGCGCTGACGATCGGGATCGACTTTCTCGAGAACAATTTCAAGGGCAACAATGGCCATGGAGATGACGATTCCAGACTACCACAATCAGCGTCGACTTCCCACAAACTCGACAATCTTCTTGTGGGAGGACCGAGCAGTCCTATACAATGAGAACAATATGGAAAGGTCAGAAGATGAAGAAGAGGAGAAAGGGCACAAAACGCCCTCGACAATCGACCAGCGACCAGATGGAAGAGTCGCAAGAGTAGAACAATGGCCCTACAAACTGCAAGTCTCTGACAATAATGCCCACGAGCACCACGATGAGAAGGGCAACAATGCTGGAGAGACAATGGCAGAAAAGCTGTACAGACTTGCTAACAATGTTTGAACTGCTTTGTACAATAAATTTTCTTTACTGTTTCAACAATGTTTATGGTGATGGTGTGATTCAACAATGAATCAAACCAAGGGACGGTGTTAAGAGACAAGCTTTTTCACAAATAGCTTACTTACTCCATCGTAGTGTTGATGTACAACTGCACGGTGCTGTACAATGCACCTTGGATCAAAGGCCTTGAGCCCAGCCTAGCTGAAGAGGAAAACAATACAGAGACGTGCACAAACAAACGACAAACAAACAGCTGCTGAATTTTACAAAAGAGAGAGAGAGAGAGAGAGTGAGTGAGTGAGAGAGAGAGAGATGTGAAAATGTTAAGATGTGCATGTCTGGTTGTCTGCAGGTGTGAAGATGTGCAGATGTGAAGATACGCATGTCTGGATATGTGCAAAATGTGAGTTGTGACGATGCGTATTACTCATGTTTTGCTCCTGTTTCCATTTTGAGAAGAACCCTTCGCTCAAACGCTGTCCGGAATAAGGCAGCACTAACTCAAGGATTGAAAGGCAACTATATTAAAAAAGCAATAGCAACAGAGACCATAGAAAGAAAAAACATTACGACAGAGAATCAATACGCCACTAAAGGAGAAGCAAAAGGATAGTAAGGCCAAGCGCAAAGCAGTCACAAAGAAGCAATGAAAAGAAAGGAAAAGCAAGACAAGCACAGAAAAGCAGGAAAAGCCATTAAAGACACGAGAAGCAACGAAAAGCAAAAAAGCGGCAAGAAGCAGATTCACAAAAAATCCAAAACACAACACAAAATGTCACCCAACGAATAGCCCTCCGTCCACAAGTGGCACAAGCAGCTTCTCGTACCAAGCAGCATCCATAAGCTGCCCACTTGAGGACAAGCTCGCCCATAAAGAGCACAACGATCACCTGGTTCACCACCTAGAAAGCGGCCAGCCCTTTTGTCTCCATGTACTTTCGATGGTGTTAAATCATGCCTGTGCTTCACAGACGCTGCTCATGCGCTTCATCAAACATAGCAAACGAGTTTCGGCTATAAATGACCATACACACACATATATATATGTAAACTTATATATATAGATTTGATATATTATAGACTTAAATCGACCATCAGGTTAAATAGAGACTAGGTTGGACTCTGACAGGGAACTATCGCAAACACACCTGTGCACAACATATCCAGATACCATGGCGGGAGCCGCAGGAGCAATCTTCGGAACTTGTCCCGAACTTGTTCGATGCTTTTTGTGATTTGGGGTCATCACAGCAGGGTCTGTGGTGTTGAATCTGAAAGTCGAACGGAAATGAGGAAAGGAAAACAGCGGGAAGAAATGAGAGCCACGAGGCCACCGAAGCAAAAAACTTCATCCAAAGCATGCTTGGTTGTCAGCACAGGGACCTTCGCAGATCACAGCAAAAGAGAAGGCACAAAAGAAACGTTCAAAGAGAGATTCGATTTAGTGAGACTTTCAGACGGATACCAAAAACATCCAAAAACAAAGGGATACTGACAATACAAAACAATGAGAAATGCGATGCCGAAAGCCGAAGCCGAGAAATGAGCACGCCGACGAGGAGGCAGGGAGCATGACGCCACTTTCAAAGGAGACGGGATACCTGAAGGTCAATACAACAGGTGATATCAAAAGAAACGGTTTATCAAGCACCGGGAAGGTGCTTTCAAGGAAAGCAATCCTTTCCGAATAGAGAGGCCATTGACCAAGGACGATTTCAAGCTACAGTAGCCAAACAATATCTTTTTGAACGCGCAAATTCCTAGGTAAAGCAATCAACAAATCCAAAACAAATCAATCTTAAAACCTCTCAGTGAACGAAGCACGTACTGAACACTATTTTGGATGTAGATTAACACAAGTATGAACCGCAAGAGATTCGAAAGCATCCAGGAAAAAAGGCAGGTCGATATACAGCACGCTGCGGAGCAATGTCTTGAGAACTCTTCTGGTATCTGAACAATGTGCCAACTGCACTGGGCTCATCTTGCACAAACAGTACCAACGGTTGAGTCATCTTTCAAGAGAACCTTTTGCAAGTTCAGAACGTTCCCAACATCTACCTAAAGAGAGTGTACATTTCTTCCAGTTTCTGAAGTTTGTGCAAAATCTCCGACTTTCGCGTTGAGTCCGAAAAGTCTCTGCATTGTTTTGACTACATGCATCAATGAACCTCAAACGCGTTGCAAGCCTCGAAGACAGGAGATTCGCTACCAAAAGGCGTGCCCACAGAAGAATCCACCTGATCAATCATGCGAAAGAATCCAGACTTCGTTTCCCAAAAAACCTCCTCAACTAGCTGAATCAAATTGAAGTTTGATCACGTGAAGCTCCACATTGCTTCAAGGCAAAATCAAATGACATTTTTGCAGCACATTTGTATCGCTCCTCGATGCCCAGAATGATGAGGTTCAACATGATCAGCAACTGGAGGATTCACACTTCTGCTTCGGTATCGTTTTGAAAAGTAATCAAGAAAATGAGGCCATGGTCCACGGGTGAATGTCCACCAACGGGTTTAAAACGCCTTTCTGCCTGGAAGTATGTTGCCAATGTTGCAGGCAAACTCTCAGCAAACACTATAGAACTTTAGCAAACAAACCAATCGAAACTGCAAGGGCTCTCTTTCGCCGCACCTGCACGCCGTTTGAGAAAATGCTCGAAGATACAATCTTCCCGCAAAAATTTTGAGGCTTTGGCTCCTCGAGTGGCATGATCCACTAAACAACAACACAACATCTGCAAGAAACCTAAGAGGAATGGCCTCCAACCTAATAGCCATGGCCTCCAACCTAGTAGCGACGGCCTCCAACCTAGTAGGGAGGGGAGGGGGCTAAAAACCAATGTTTTGTTTTTTCACCTTCAGCTTCTTGCATCCTTGCTCTCGTGCCTCAAACGTCAAGGGCGGCAAAGTGAGCTGCTTGTGCATCTTCACTGCCTAGCACAGCCATCATAACCGGGAGATGTGAATGTCTCCACAAAGCCCCTGTGTTAGCTTGTTCAAACTCACACCTGCTGACTTTTCATGCGCTCCGCAGTTTAGTCAATGAAAAGTGACAAGCAATCAAGCCACTACTCCGACTTGATTAGTCGCACCCTGACTCATTTGTTCTCTTCTGAGGCACAGTAAGGTAGCCTGTC